GCCTCTGGATTTTATGGCTGCGTTACTGTCTCTGAGGAATATCTGACACTGCTTTTGAACTTGGGTATCAGATGCTTGCCTATCAGATGTCACCTGTCAAGCGTGGCTTTCTGCTTTAACTGCACTTGTACTTGGTACAGCAGTGATCTGGGACATAAAAGTATGTCAGAAAAGAGAGGTGATAGCAGGAGGAGTCATCCGGCTCACGGTCCCTGTTGGAGACCTGCAGGATGCTGGAAAACAAGCCCATTACTGTAGCCTAGTGCTGCAAGGGGCCAGGAGAGATGATGGCTCTCCTACTCATCCAGCTTCTCAGCCCAGAAGCAAGCCTGCAGGGGATGTCTTGGACGACATCTCTGGGAGGGTGTTTGCTCCCACGGCTCAGAGTATTACAGTGGATCTGCAGAAAGTGCATCTTATGCAGTGGTGGGGTGGTGATGATGAGAACGAGCGAAAGAGCCTCATCATTTGTTTCAGCTTTGCTCCTGATGGAAGTATCTGAATTTCTGTTGTTTTGTTCTCTTTCTTAATTCTTTCTTAAACTTGTGGGTCAGCCATGGTGCAGTGGTAGACAGGAACGATTAACAGCCCCGTGGTGGAGAAGGGCTGGTGATTGTCTCCAGAGATGCAGAGCTTCCCTTAAAAATAACACTTCATCCAGGACTTTTTAAAACTTTTTTTTTTTAATACATTTTTTGTTTCTTTTGAATGGAAAGCACCTTTAGCAGGCCTTGTTCATTGAGAAGTCTAGAGAATTATATGTAGCAGGACTATCTGGTGTAAAAATTTCTTTCTTATAATTTCAAAGCCATTAGCACCATTTTGTGTGTGCATTTGATGTTAATAGAAGTGATAGGCAAAAAATAAAGGGCGAGCCATCCAATTTAGACTTTTCCTGCTCAGGAAGATGTAATGCAGCTGACTAACCTTGAAGAGCAGGCTGTTGTGTTAATCAGCGATGCCCTTGAGCTGTCCTATCCATTTCACTTTCCAGTTTCCTGAAGAGTTGCTCTTCCCAAGGTGCAGTTTTGTCTTGAAGAAATACCGACTTGTAGCGCTGTATGAAAACACACCAGCATACACAGCAGAAACCAATTCCCTCGGCAGCAAACAAAGAAAGGATTTTTATCATTTATACTGGATATACTCCAAGAATTCTCTCTTCAGTTTAGTTATTTTTTTTTAGGAATATTCAATTAAACCTTTTCTCAAATTGGCCATAACTTTCAATGAAAATTAAGCAATTCTATTTAGGTAATGATATCCGTCACTGGGCTTAATGTTCAGAGAGAATAGGAATGGTTTCACCTGTTCATGTGAATTAACCTCAGCTGACATTCTTCATGTTTCAATTCCTCAAAAGCGCAGAAAGACGACAAGCATTTAGCATCCTACAGGATGGGCTGACTCTCAAGTTTGGGGTACTGGAGGGACACAGAAAATACACTCTTCATTTGGAATGTATTTAAATTAATCTGGCATTTTTTAATAGGTTTTGTGATTCACTAGGAAAAAATATATATAGATCTCGGCAGAAGCTAGGATAGCAGAATGTTCTTCTAAATTATCTGTCACATTCTGTCCAACAGCATATGGGCATACACCTCGTACTGTGTTTAAAAATGTTTCTTTTATCACGAAATCTACTGAAATTTTCTATATGCTGCATCTTACTGAAAGAAATAACATGTGTCTCAAAGGAGGCAGACCCAGAGCAGTAGTACATTTGTTTCATCTGACGGGGGGTGGGGTGGGGGGGATGCTTTTTGGTAACCAATCTTGTTTGCAACTTGTCTTAAGCTGAGGGCAGCTCAGCATTCATTCTGGGTTAACTCATTTCAGGCTCGAGCAAAAGAAATGTAACTCAGAAAAATAAAATCTGTCACTGGGAGAGTGTCTTAACAGTTAGCTTGTCTGAGAAGGTTACTTACTGTATTTTCCCAGGACAGTAACAAACGTGTAAGGAGTAGCACAGGTTACACGGTAGCTGCTGAAAATCATAAAGAGCAAAGTGAGTAAAATAACTGAGCAGCTTTCATGTGTATATATACATATATGTACTGCTTCCTTGTTCTGTTAGATGAAATGACCAAAAGAGAGCCTAATGAACACAGTCTCCTAAGAAGGGCAAGGGAAAAGCCTGCTAAGCTCAGGAAAGAGCCACCTTCTGACGTCGGTGGGCTTCTGTTGATCAAGACCCTGGTAATCTTCATCAGTGAAAAGCTAAAAATGTGTTACTGTCGCTCCATGATTGCAAGTCCCTGAACATTATTGCAATAGAAATGAAATTACCACTTTCATTATTTTTTTTAAAGTGTAAAATTCACATGTAGAAGTTATCTGGATAGCAAAACATTACTCCCACAAAACCAGACACTGTAATAGAGCAAATGCATTTGCCCATGCTGACACTAAACTTCCGAGATCTGTTTCTACCCAGTAATATTGTAAGTTAGTCAAAATGGACTATATATGATACAGGTACTTTCAGTTTTCTACCTGTAAGTATCTAGACGGCAGTTTGTTTTATTTGTTGGTGAATATTTAGTGTTCTTTGAACCAAATCCTCCTCTTCTGTAAGGTATTGTGGCTCAACTCTTGTCAGACACTGTGTTAGGATCTGGGCTGCAGTGATTTCAATCACGCATTAGACTGTAGCAAAAGGACTCTACAGGCTGAAGATTAAATAGTTTGGACTTGGTTATACACAGGCATCAATAAAAGAAAGAAGAAAGGCACTCAAAATAATTTTATCTACCCAGTGTTGCAAGGTTTTTCCTCCTCTTCTGTTCCCCTGATACACTGGCAGCTGCTTTTAGAGCTTCTCCCTGCCTGACCCAATGCTGTTCTCTTGAAAGCCAAGTAGTAGTCGCACCAGGGCTTTTCTTCTTGCTGTCTAACAGGAAAGGCAAGCGTTTTTTTGCCATATAAAAGCTGTTAAACAGTGTCAGCAGCAGATGTTGTAATATTTGGAGAGCAATTTCATTTGAACTTCGTGAGCTTCTATTTTAGCTTAGGCAAATGAAGTTATTTAGTCCTTTCACATGTTTGTGACTATTTCTATCTTCATAGTTCTCTACCTTTTGTCTGTTGTGTTTTCTAAATTGTACTTTGCTTACTAATTAGGTAGGCAGATTGTAATGTTTCCTACAAATGTAACTCCCTATCAAACACCCCATTGCATCATGTGGACCAGTTTCATTATACCTTGAAGACCAGTGTCTCACTCCAGGACACTACACCATAACAGTCTGGGCCCTGATCCTGCAGCCAAGTGATGCCCTGGATGTATGGGGACACATTTGGACCCTTAGATTTGTTTGTGTGTCTGTTTCCCAACTCAAGTAGGTGAGCTATCTACTTTTTAATGCAAGGTGTATTTTCTTGTGATGGGAGGAGGACTGTTAGCGTGATGTGATATGATATAAATTGACACACCTTAATTGAAATAACAGCAAATGACACTGTAGCGTGACTTGAGTCCTTTGATGGGGTGTGAGGCAGATGACACAGCCGATGCAACATGTACCTGGCTCTGCACAGTTCGCTAACTGGGTTACCTGGGATGGTCTGGCTTGGCCTGTCCCGGCACGATCAAGCTCCTTGCTTATGGGACTTGAAGCAACTCTTAATAGGACCTGAGCACCAGGCCAGCTTCTGTATTTTACAATTAGAAAACTGGATAAATTAAAATGTATTTTAATTCTTTTATTTTCGAATCCATTAATATAGTATTCAGAGCTATAATCTTTATGGGCCAGATTGTAATATTCTTCCTTACACTGAATGAGACTGTTTAAGGAGTGACACAGCCCTAGGTCTCAGAAACAAGTCAGGATATCATAATCTAGCCCTGTATGCTTTGTGGTTATTATGATCTTTTTCTGCCAGCAACAGTAAGTTGCACACAGGTATAATTTAAAGCTAGAAATTATGTGAAATGTGTTTTGAATAATAGATGAGCCTCGGTCAGATATCGTTAACATATAATTAAAAATAAAGATAAATACGACTGATACAACTGTATGCTTAGTGCATTCTCTTTTGTGGTGGTGCCTGAAGGAGGAGACGCGGGGGAGAGGTTGCTCATTATAATCTTCCTGGCAAAGTCTCTCTGAAATCCTTCTGTGGAGATGACAGAATTTTCTCCCTGGAGTAAAGAGCTATTGTTCTGTCTCTGATAAATCCAGCTGGTTTCCCAATGTCGGGGGATATGAGGGCTATTCACATTCATTCTCACCTTCCTCCCAGCGAGAAGATGCATCATCTTCTGTTCATTCCTTTTTCTTTCTTATTTTTTTGTAAATCACATCATCTTTATATTTTATTTATTCATTCTCCTGTGACCTCCTATACCCGCAAATTTCCTGCATGTCCATCAAGATGGACTTCTGGCAGCAGACTAGACGGCAGCGTGGCTGCCTGGCCAAAGTGACGTCCGTGCTCACGTCCCTGTGAGTCCCTGCCCTCGGCAGCGAGGGAGCCGCAGGTATCGGCAGCAGCACCCTGATGGCTCATACAGTTGCCCTTTGCCCTGCAGAACATGATCCGACAATGTTCAAGCAAGGCTCCTTCCATTCAGCTAAAAGACAGAAAGTCCTTACTTTCTGTAGCTGTATTTAATAATGAGGCTTTTTAATTTGCAAAGAAAATATTTCAGTGTTTAAAAGTTAAACTAAGCATTCTGATTTGTAATGAGCTGTGCTATCACAATGGGATATGCCTGTTCCCCTTCATTTGAACTTTGGATAAAGTTGCAATCTGTACTCTATTTAGTGCACAAATGTTTCCCTGAATGTTGACTCCATGTGAGGTTCAGTGGCTTTTGGAAAAAAATCTGGCTGTTCTAAAAAAAAAAAAAAGTCTTATTATCACATGTTTTTTAGGGTGAATCATACACAGCCTCTTGCTGCTAAGATACTATTTTATATTTTAACACTGGTTAGGCGAAGATTCCATCAAGTATCTGTCACATTTTTCCTCTGTTTAACCCAGATGACAACACTCTGCACGGGCCAGTTTTCCTGCAGGAGCCCAACAGCGTGATCTTCCCCTTGGATTCAGAGGAAAAGAAAGTGAAGCTGAGCTGCGAAGTAAAAGGAAATCCCAGACCAACCATTGGGTTTGTTGAATGTTTAACTATTCTTTACCACAATCTCCACGCTACAGCAGTATCCCCCAAGAGCCTCTCTCCTGTGTGCATCATGTGGTGTAACCCAGTGATGCCCCTGGAGTCTACCACAATGCTGATAACAAAAAACAGGTGTCAGGAAATCACTCCATATTGCAACACAATTGCAAAATTTGGACAAGAGTTCAAAAAGGTTACGAAGGGATTGTAAGTAGTCTTGGCTCCCAGATTACCCATCCTTTTCCACAAACATGGACAAAGCTCTGAATTGTTTTCAGCTTTAGTAACTGCTTTGAGATCCTTAGAAAAAAGACGCTATACTACGTGGTGATGCTGCTGCTGTAAATCATTTAGGCTGCTGTTTTTTTTCCTTTAGTGCCTTTCTTATTTTGTTCACCAAAGTAAATGCCACTCTGAAACCGATTACAGTCATCAGACCTCAGCCACTGTGCTGTCTTCTGACACAACCGACTATTTAAGGCAATAAACTGTGTTGATTCTCTAGTGCAAACATACTCAAATTGTTTCTCTGCAAGTTCTGGTGAAGGGAGCTGCTACGCGGCTGTGGCTTCCTCACGTGCTCCATCCAGGGATGGTGGGGTTGAGGGTTGCTGTAACTGGGGCAACATGCTGTTGGAATTTCTCAGTGTCCCATTTTGTGACAACATCTACTGCGAGTGGATTTTCTTAAATTTAAAAGCAAACAGCCAGCAAGTCAGGAGAGGAGAAGAAACCTCGGTGGAATCGGATGGTTTAAGGATCCTGTTTCTGGGACTTCCCCTTGCAAAATGATTCATTCCAAAGAGCAGCAGCACTAGCGACTACAGAAGCATTAATCATATCTGAGACTGAAATATATGTCAAGGATATTGCTCTTTCAGTTAAATACTGGAATATTTCAATACTTCGCAGGAAATTTGCATTTTCATGCTTTTTTTTTTAATAAGTAGTCAAAGACGTTTTAAATCTATCTTTATTTACTACATGTTGTACTTTCAAATACCCAAGAGTATCCATTAATATTAGCAGAATTTAACTTTGGCATTTTGTGCTATAGGTGGAAGCTAAATGGAACCAGTATTGACATCGGTATGGATTACCGTTACAGCGTGGTGGAAGGCAACCTGTTGATCAATAATCCCAATAAAACCCAAGATACTGGAACATACCAGTGTGTAGCAACAAACCCGTTTGGAACGATTGTCAGCAGAGAAGCAAAGCTTCAATTTGCTTGTAAGTAACAATGCAGCCTCCGTTCCTTCAGCATGCTAGAAAAACAGAGCGCGCAATGCCTACTGTAATAACCTTTTCTATTGCGTTATGTAGTACTCTCTGAGCTGTTCATGAAGTAGAGAAAACACCTGGATTTAGAGGGGAAATGTGAATGAGAAATAGGTGCCTTGGTTTATGATTATTTAGGTAAAATTATATGTAGTATCCAGGGTAAAATGTCTTATTTCTTGAGAAAGAGGCCACCTAGGAAAGTATCTGGCAAATGGGATCTCACCATTGATTTTTCCTTTCCTTGGAGAATTAAAGCTTCAAAATATTTGAAGGGGCATACTCTTTATAAGGAATAAATTCACAATGACAGTTTTCACAAGTCCTACATTTCAGTACTTAGGTACAAATACTTTCAGGTATGGGTAATATTTTGTAACTCTGTAAAAGGGAAAATGGTCTGCTTCATATTTATTTCAGGTTAAATTCAGAGTTGCGGCTTCTTGTCGAAAGCTAAGGATAACAAAAGACACAGGTCTTGATGTGAATTAGCATTATATGAAATTACAAAAAGCTGTTTTGAGGTACAGGGTAAAGTCTGTAAGAGTGGGCAAATGATAATGCAGGACCACATCTTTTTTCTCACATAGTTGTGAAGGTAAAGGCAGAGAATAGATACATGGGCTTATTCATCCATCATCTCTCTGATTTCTCTGTGCCGTTGTCCTGGGAGGGGTGTACATAGCAGCTTAGTAATTACAGCAGGACCTACGATGAAATATCCTTGCATGCGTGTGCAGGAGTTCAAGGCAATCTGTTCCCAGACATGAAGCTATCAGTGATGGTGAGCTGGGCTTTCAGTAGAGCTTAATGAAAGATGCTTTTGACCGACTGGTAAGAGAAGCTGATAGAATAGACTAGACTATTTCAGATGTGCTCCAGCTACAACAATAAAAATGCCAATAAATGCCAGGTTCACACAATATAGAGAGGTGATTTGTAGTGAGAAATATTACTGTGAGTAAAGGCAAGTCCTCTGTCTCCCCGTATAGTTTACAATATATTATCTGTTTGCTTATGACCTGCTTGTGTTTTTCTGTGACTGAAGCTGCATTTTCACTCTGGATGGGTAATGAACAGCTTCCTCAAGACCAATCTCATCACTCCAGATTTCAGTATGTCAAGGTGATCGCTTCATAAATATTGCGTTCGTCTGCTTCTCTGGAGAGCACGTGTTTCACAGCAGGCTCCGTCCTACAAATTGTGGCCTTCTGCTAGCTATCAGGGTGAGCCTGGGAAGCGTCATTATTCACAGCAAAGCACTTCAACACCCCCTTGGCTGGGGTCGTACTGTTTGCTGAAGTCAATTGTTTAAGGACATGCCGAGTACCAGGTTGCAGCTCCTTAGATGTTGGTCCTAGGCTTCAAAGTTTAGAATGTGGGGCTAGGAGGGAGGATCCTGATGCTGGCAAGTGCAGTACCCATGGACTACTTGAGTGGAAATACATCAACTTCCTTGCTTGTTTAAATTGTTAGGCACTTATTAACCAAGAGCTTGCAAACGCAGAGAATTCTGCACAAAAAATAAGAAACATTTAACATTTTATCTTTGCTTCAGATACAGTGTTTATTAAATTTCTGATTAATTTATCTGTCTCAATGAATGATACATCTGGCAAAAATCTTTTAAGTTTTCTAGTTGACCACATACAAATTTAGTTTGACTGATTCTTAATTAAGAAGATTAAATTCAAAAAGAAAGCTTGTTCTTTTCCAGTTAAAAAATGATGGGGAACTTGAATAAATGTATTATTTTTGATTCCTAAAATTTATTTTAGATTGCTAAACCAGCATAATCAGATAAGAAACATTTGGATTAAATAAAAAAATATCAGCATTTATCAAGGTAGGCTCTGTGCTTCCACAAAACAGTAAGTCATTTTGTATTGTATAATCAAAGGGCTTGCAACCCGAATTAGCTGAATTATGAAATATAAACTTAAATGGTTTAAGTTTATTGCAAAAGCTCTGCCTCTAAAAACCAATAAAAATGGGCATCTGTATTAGTAATGTGTGTTTTTCAGCCTTGACGTCCAAGACGTGTGGATGCAGTAGCACTGCTTAATATAACTTCTTGCCTATATGTGGTTTGATTCCAAACGTGATCGTTTTTGAATGGCCTTCTGTAGGTTCTGCATGGAATAACCTAAAGCACTGTATGGGGAGGACATAGCCACCGGAGAGCTCTCAAGCCTGCTTGCTCTCAGTTGCGCTCTCAGGATTTTTCCCTTTTATCAAGTTATTTTCCTCGAATTTACACCTCTATCTGGCCCCTAGATAGCACATGCAGTCTCTGATCCAGCTCCGACGCTTCAGCTTGGTCTCTTACACCCCGCTATGTCACATGTTATGATTTAACTGTGGAAAGCCATTTGGTTAGAAACTCAGGACTGTCCTGCTTAACCTGTCCATAGCTTCCCCCTTTCTCTGAGCAATCCCTTATTTTCCAGCCTGATTGGTGTGTTGTGTGATTTTTGTGTTACCTCATCTTTATTTCTGAGGAAAGTGATTGCTGAGTCTTTTGAGACTAATGTCTGGGGTTTTCAGTTGGGTTTTTTTTTCCTCCTCTTAAGGGTTAAATTCTGAATCCTGGGGCATCATTAATATACGTTCGCTCGTTCTTCAAGGGCTGTATTATTCTTCTCTAGCATTTTCACTGAAGATTAAACTGCGATCTAGCTATTCAACCTCCTGTGGAGGTCAGAGAGGGTCAGCAATTTAATCCTTGAAATATGTATTTAGGTTACAAACTCATTACGATAAAAGTGCTAATATTTTCCCCCAATACTTTCTTTGTGATATGTCATTTACATTTCAAATTTGTTCTTTTTTTTTTCCTCCCCCACCAATGCTAGTTGTCTTTGAAATCGAACATATTTTTGGAAAGTGAGGAATCTGCTTTGCCACAATAACAGAATCTGGATTATTGATATCTTAAACCCTGTGCTTATAGCAGTACAGGCTTTCAGAAAATATAAAAAGCTTTAAACTCTGAGTATGGATTCTAATAATGGCTTTTCCAAAATGATATACGAAAACACAGCTAAACTAGATTAAATTATGTGCTTTTTATTTTAGGGGATGGGGCTTAGCTTGACAATTTTATTCACTGTACCGTAGTTTCAGTTCAGAAATAATGCTGAAATCAATAAGAATTTATGCCTGGAAAGAGGTGCAGCTCTGATGTTGCAGTTCAGAGATGTACCCCACCCATTCAGACGTGATTAAAGCTGTTTACTATGGCCCGGATCCTGCTTCCGTTTAAGTCGCAGATAAAACTCATATTGATTTTTAGTGGCACCAGAGTTGGACCATACCCCTCAGAAAGTGATGAATTTGCAAGTTGTTCCGCCTGCTCAGCTCCCGTTCTCTTTGGCATGACTCGAAGGTGCTGCACAGCTCTTGGCTGCGGGCAGGAGAGCGGTAGAGCTCAGTGCAGAGCGGTACGCCGTGAGCAGGATGCGCTTTTAGTGAGTGTCCTTGCCAAGTTATTTCTACTGACTGTGACATAATTTACAAAATGGAACATTAGTGCACACAGGTGCTGAAAGTTGCATTTATACTCATATCTCCATAGGCATAAAATCGCGAAGTTGAGACCTGGGAAAGGCTTCAAGAGCTTGTCTGTCCCCAGTGCGAGGCAGTGTCGATGCCCTTCCTTAGAGAAGCTCACCAGCTTGTTCTGCACAACATTTGCAGACCCTTCTCAGGAGTGTGTATTTGGAGGACTATGTATTAAGATTTAGTTTCACTTATTTTAGTGGCCTCTGCTAGTGCTAACCTTACTTGCTAGCAGCTACTACTGATCGTCTGGACTATGCTTGTACTCCTTGTCCTGTGCAGGTAATGACCCAAGGGCTTTCAAATCTATTCCTGCTCCTCTTCTGTTGATTGTTGAGCGTGGTAGATGTCCAAAGGATTGTGCTTTTGGGCAGCTGAGTCCCAGTGGCTTCCCACCAGAAATGTCATTGCAGAAGCCCCCAGTCTGTCACCGTGTCTGGGTGACCATGGAGAGTGCCAGCTTTCATGTGACTTGTGGCTCATCTACTGTCTTTGGGTTTGCTGTTGCTTAACCAAAGGCTGGTAACGAAGAAAAGGGCCGGCTTCTCAAAACTGTTCAAAATGAGCAATGCTGGTGGAAATTAGTTCAGGAATAAAAAGACTAAGTAAGGTTTTCCCTTCTGTTTGTAATTCTTTGCTAAGTGACATCCAGATCTGTTCTTTTACAATCCCATTGGTAAGGTGGGATGAACAAATGGGACTCTCGCCAGCAAAGAGAATGACAATTATTAGTTTACCTTTCAGTTGATTTATGAGCACCTATAGAATAACATCTCTAATTAGAGATTAATTTTTATATTTATTTTACTTTGCTGAGGATGCAGTTTGTTTTTTACCACCAAAGCTTTGAAGCCAGACATTTTTGCACGTCTCCAGGAGCAGTGCAGAGGGTCAATCTGGTGGACACCGCTGTGCCCCCCACCCCAGGGGTCTCCAGACTGTGTCTGCTCCATCGCTGCCTCCATCTGTGGTGGCTAATGCATCACCGGGACAGGGACAAGGCTCCACTCTGCTCTCCTGGCAGATGACTCCTGTCTTCTCCCGTGAAGCCATCTCCAATGCTGGAGATGAAATAATCTTTCCCTGCTGTGGTAACTATACTCAATTTGGCCCTAAACTCCTCAGCAGGATTTGCAGTTTAACCTGAAAATACACAAAGGCAGTGCTACCTGCAGTAATGCTGGTTTAAAAATAAACCCTCCAGAGAGTGGGTGGGTAGCCATGCAGTAGCTGTTGCCTTTCTTTTCAGTACCTATCTTTGTCACATGCTATTGATTGTGAAATGAGTATCCAAAGAGGAAAATCGAGTTCAAATCGGTGCAGTTTTTCAGTTATACCATTGTTTTGCCCCCCGTTGTTATAAAAACTGCCTGAAAGTGATGCCTGTGAAA